ATGCCCAACAATCGGGGCCTACTCCGTACGTGCTATTCTAAAGTTGACCCATGGCGACGAAAGCTCTGTTTATGTCTTGATCACGATAAGCTCTTGTATTCAAGCTTTCGCGCTTATTTCAATTTGAGATTGACGATATTCTTTGTATGTGCTTGTATATCTTCGCCTCCTATAAATCGTCTATTGACTACTAATGGTAAGCTCATCAACTAGTCGTCACCAACATAAACCTGACTATCACTTGCTAGCCAATGACCTAACCCACTAATTTCAACATAGAACCATACTAAGCCCTGACTATTCCTGGTTGAAATAGAGTCGGCAACACACCCTTGAGAGGGATACGTACATATGTAGGAAACCCACTATAATTACAGACACAATTTATTTGCATCCTAACCTCCAAGATTGAGTTTGGCCCCAAGTTCTAAACCAATCTGCTCCCAAGTAAACCTAATGGCCCCTGATACTGTGGCACGAGATCCAAACTGCCATTGAACTTTGAACTCCTTGGGTTGAAGTAGTTGAAGCTTGGTCGAAGTGAACTTCCTCAGCTGGAGTAATCAAGGTTTGGTTTCTCTGGAGTTGCTCCAACTGCTCATCTTCTATCAACATGAGGGCACTGTTGATGACTCTGTCACTCACTTCTTCATCGGTGAAATTTGCAAGGATGTGCTTGAGAATGTAGTTTCCATAAGAAAGATACATTGTGTCAACATATGCTGGGGGCACTATGGGATCATCCTGCTCATCAAGTTCAATCAACATGAGGGCATTGACGGTCGCTCTGTCGCTCACTTCATTGAAGAAACTTTCACGGCTCTTGTTCTTGGGGGGAAATAGATTTCGTATGATATCACAAAGCAGATACATTATGTCAACAACTGCCCTGGGAGGAGAGATAAGCCAAAGATAAGCTCGGGGCGATTGTTGTGTGCGAATTGAATCGAATCGCAATCAAATCGTTACAATTGTGATGTTTAAACTCCGCCACTCACCTTGAAGCGCGGCCTCTCTTGGAACTCATAGCACAATCATAGCATTCCATCAACTCCGAAACACTTGTTTTCACTGCGAGTCCTTTGCATCTTGTTTGATCCTACTCCGAGTCTTATTCGCCCATTTGCTCGCTAGTGCTCCTTTGAAACTCCGAGTGATGCAGTCTTCGGATATTCGGCGTGAAACCGTGCACAGCGCTTTCCCACCACTCAATATCCAACAGTCCGTATGTCAGAATGTGGATGGAAATCTACCAGGTAAGAGAAAAAACTTGACTATAAAGTTGGGTGCGAAATAGGAATCGTTACGATTGGCATTTTTGAAATATTGAGGTTTAAATCAAGAAATTTAAACCCCGATACTCAGCCAAGCACACTGGGATTCTTACACTGCTCCGGCTACGTACTTCGACACAACCAATCCAAGGCGACTAGATCGTTGGTGCGTTCAACATTGGTTTGAGGAGCCCGTTCACGAAGACCGTGGGTTGGCCTGTGCGTGAACTCGCGCGCAGCGTCCATGCGTATTTCGCAATTCAGGCTGCCCTGTTTCGCTCTAACGACGCCCAGACTCGGGCCTGTGTGGCCGTCGGACCACGATAACTGGTAAGGACGGTACCAGGCCTCTCACTGCAGTTCCAACACCTGTTATTTTTTTTTAGATAGCCGTGGTCAAAACCTAGGATGCACCCTCTTAGGATATACCACGCCTGCTTCCAAAGGACGCTCGCTTTGTAGGACCCTCATTTCCCACTCCCTGTCCGCTTGAGGCATGTATTCGCTGGTCTACCGTTGCTCCACTGCTAGTTTCCGCGCTTGGATTCGCCTCCAAAGTTTTCAAGCCAAATTATGTGGCTATTGGTCTCTTTGCATCCTAGTGCTCCGTCTCTTTATATACAAGTTACAGTCACTGCGCCATCACCTTGGTATTATGCACTTTCTGTTTTTTATCCCCACAACGGGACTCTTCACCCTTTCGGTCATACTCCCGGTGATTTCCGCCGTGAATCGCACTCCGCGAAACGTTAAAAGGGCCGCCTTTGTCCATATCTCTTTCGCCACTCCTCCTATCGCTTTCATCCCCGTCTGCCTTCATTCACCACATTCACGTTCAGTACAGCGCTATGCCCACGGATGTCTACCAGGTGATTTGACTGCAAACGCACCCTTTGTTCTTTCTGATTACTTTCTTAGCAAATTCATCTGAAAGTCTTGTACTTCTCAATGTCCTCAAGGAATGCCCGTCCGATATCTATTCCTGCTCTCGTTTCACCTTCTGGTGAACGGTTCCCCGTTTTGTCCACCGCCCTGAGCGAATATCCAACGATTACTCCAAGCACCACCCTCATCTCTTTAAAAACTCGCCACCGCAAACAATACAACTTCACTGTCTATCACCGGTACGATGAAGGCATGATCCGTAACCGAGCCGCCGCTGCCATTGCGCCGGAAGTTCACTGGGCAGGGGATTTATTGCTAGTCCGGGAAGGGAGTCGCGTTAACTTCACGGATCTGTCCAACCGTGATATCTCTTTTGCGAAGACTGCTGTTCGGCGGTGTGTAATTGCGCTTCTTGAACACGAGTCTTATACGATCTCACCACTCGCCCAGCTTTCTGCACACTGCGCACAACAGCATCCTTGACGCTGAGGCGGAAAACCTTGACGAGGTTGTTTTCCCAACAGTACTGATGTATAACATGTAGTCAAACGAACATCGGTGTACTTAGCTCGTCGAGCAACTCGCGTTGATGAGGGGTCACTGTTAATTTCTAATTCCATTTATCCGTAGCTGAAATTCTATCGGGTCCTTGTTTGTAATGCGCAAACCCCACCTATGAACAGCGTATATATCATCCTGAGCGAGGATAAAGCAAGGAAGGTCGGATGGCTCAAATCCTAATCTTCGAACGACGTCCAACGCGCTTTCTGACTTGAGTCTTGACCTTTTGGACTTCTCAAACACAGTTTTAAAAATGCAGTCCCCTCGGGCCTGGAGGAAGCTTCTTATCCTTTTCGTACGTCCCACGGTGATAGAAAATTAGAATTGACTTTAAGTAGGGAGATGGTAACACAAATTCATTCCAGATCCACCCGAGTACTAAGTAATGATTGTCATATAATATGTGTAAGTAGAACGAAAAATCTGAGGCACTATAAGATAAAATTCGTATTTTCGGCAGCTAATCATCTCCCTATCTCACCGCATGACAGGTGTGAAACCGAAAAGGAACAACAAAGACAAAACACAAAGTGCCTCGCAGGAAAGCGGAACTACACACATGGAAAAAGGGAAGCTTCAGTTTGCTTGTGGTTCATCAATCTGGGTTGGGAAGATAACCGAAAAAGCATCTTCCCCTCCAGCGGCTTGAATGCATTCGTGGGCATGATCGAGAAAGCTACAAATATGTGAGAATGGAACAGAAAGATATGAGGTTGTCGACGCACGCACACACGAGCTGCCCTATGCGCCATATTGTAAGCGTACCAGCTGGCCAATCCAATATAATTGTATCGATAACCTTCCTGGATGACGATGAAGTCCCCCGTCCACGGGACAAAGGGCGCCAGAGTACCAGCGGCGCCGTTGACACCCAGGAGCTGGTCATGTCGAAAATAGACCGTAAAGCGGTATTGATCGTTCTCGTCGTCCCGAATCGAAACTCTAACTTTCTTCACAGGGATAGTTGTATAACCACGAAGGGTGGTAGATACCACGGGGAAGCGTTTCCCGGAAGGCGAAATAAGGGTAGGAAGAGAAATACGGAGGGGCCTTCGAGAGGTTGTTGAAAAGTACAAAGTTTTTAATTTGGTTTGCTGTGAAAGAAGTCAAAAGATTGCACAACGGCGGAATGTCAAACAAACCTGATAGATGGGGTTTGGGGCCATGGAGTTCACGTAGGAAACTGTAGACTTGGGATGGTTGGGAGAAGATAATGAAAGATGAACGGTAGAGAAGGCAATGAAAGAGATGCTAACAAAGAAGAGTGGAAATGGCCCTTGACATGAACACGAGTCGCGCGGAGTAAGAATTTGCGGCAACTAAATAGATAAAAGTTACCGGAGTTCGAACAGAGAGGGAAAGGCGCATCCTGAGTGCATTGAAATTGGGGTACCAGATGACAAGGAAGCCAATGTTTTCCTCCGAGTTCGAGTGCCAAAACTGCACGCGAGGCCACACAGTTTGTTGGCGCCCATAATCGCTCTGCTCAATGCGGCTGACACCATGCGCGGATCGAAGCAGTACGAAGGAGGTGTTCACTAGACTGAGTAAACAAAAGGTTGCAATCATCCACTGTAAAATACAGACAAGTATGTTAGAGACGGACTGAATGACGAGAAAACCTGGACATACCCTCAAATCGTGACCCAAATATTCTTCCGAAGGCCGTATGCAAGAGCGTAGATCTACGCACAAGTCACCCTCCGGCCAATGTGAAACATCGACAACCCATTTGAGCCGGAGAGGCCAATTGCAACTTGAAGAGAAACTTGGCTATAAGGTTGGGTCTGGTTGCTGCGTTGAATTGAAACGAATCGTTGCGATTGGCATCACGTGAGGTTCAAACTCCGCTACTCAACGCCTTCAGAGCCTGTGCTTCAAACCAACTCCAAACCAACTTGAAAGTGGATGAACACTTATAAATGTCTACATTGTTGAAAGCATGTAAGATCTCGTTTACTTCCAGAAAATGACGTTTAAACGTGCTTTTTCCAGGATAATCAGGCTAATCTCGCCACGTTCCGAATGATTTGACTGTAGGGTCCGAATGGCCGGGCCAGTGGTTTCAACGACTCGGACGTTTCCAAATCGTGAATGCACTATGAAGAAGCGCTTGCACGCGGACCGGCCTGTGCGTGGACTCGCGCATAGCGCCCATGTCCCACAATTCTTTCGTTTCGCTCCAAGGTCAACCCTTATCGGCCTTTTTCCTACGATTTGGGGTCGATTCGAGGTGTCTTCTATCTTTGTTTTGATATCAAAATGCAGACGGACAACGCAGAATGACACGACTGACACGTCTGTACGGCCACAGCTTGATTTCAACGATTGGGTTCTTTTCAAATCGTGAATGTGCCCAGAAGGAGCCCTTCCACCCACGTAGGCCGGATTGTGCGTGGACTCGCGCACAACGCCCATATCCCGCAATTGCCTCTTCATTCCCCCAAGCTAGTCAAGAGATGCTTGCGGTCCTGAAACAACGACGCCGACAGCTATTACCGGTCATGGCGATGTGGCAGACGCTCACCTTCAACTGTCGTGGACACCATTCGCCGGCTTCCGTGTTCTCCAGGTGTATTTTGCAGCAGACCTTCTTCTCAGCTGCAAACGACATTATTATGCGCGGTTGAGCTGACAATTGCTCATGTATGTCATCCGGCGAAATCCCCCTACCAGGAAGCAATCGGCCTGAAACGGCGCTGCAACTTGCTCAGGCTGCAAATGTTCTCAAGGCCGACAGTTTCATTGAAACATTGTTTGTTCTGTTCGCGCCCTCCAAATTTTCGATCATACAGTCAACTCTAGCGTGAAATCGCGCAAAGAGTTTTCTCAGAAACCATGACCCAGCACCCCTGGGTTGCACATGTGGAATTCATCGAAGAGGCGTTTCGTAGACAAATTCACAAGACACCTCGGTGAGTATGTCTGACTTAAGGATCAATAGGCATTGACGTCCTTTGATTCATCCACCTGAAGCTGTTTATTGACTTTTTGTCAGACGACGGCCCACCAACAACCAGCAACCCGCTCGCTACCAGTCTTTCGACGTGATTCCAATTTGCCACACAGTGGTGTTTGGCGTTGTATGACAAAGACTTTGGATGACGAACTCGGGCTTCCAATGCAACATGTGATGCTCTTGACACTTTTCCGGGCACGTCTATCCTCTACGCCGGGTGTCAGCAGGTGCAGTGTGCGCCTGCCTATCTTTCGATCGTCTTCATCGACCTTCTCTCCACTCGGTCTGACATGCACGAACAACTCGCTTTGCACCTTATCTCACTTCGTTTGCAGCCAACTCTAGTGTGAAATCGCGCAACGAGTTTTCTCACAAACTATGATTCAGCACCTCTGTGCTGCAGATGTGGAATTCAGTGAACACGAAAGAGAAATTGCCGCACACGAAACCTGGCATCGTCCTGGTGAGTACTATTGTCTTCATCCTCGGGAATATATCTGACTCAAGGCTCAATAGGCATTTGCGTCCTTTGTACGATCTGCCTGAAGCTGTTTATCAACTTCCTGGCAGACGAGGGCCCACCAACAACTAGCAATCAGCTCGTTACCACTCTATGGACGCATTCACCCATTGTTTGGCGTTGTGTGGCAAAGGCTTCGGATGACGAATGGCTTCCAATGGATGATCTTGACACTTTTCCGGGCACGTCTATCCTTTACGCCGGGTGTCAGCAGGTGCAGTGTGCGCGTGTCTGACTATCTTTCGATCGTCTTCATCGACCTTCTCTCCGCCCGATCTCACATGCACGAACAACTCGTCTTGCACCTTACCTCACTTTGTTTGCAGCCAACTGTAGCGTGAAATCGCGCAACGAGTTTTCTCACAAACTATGATTCAGCACCTCTGTGTGGAGATGTGGAATTCATTGACCTGGGTAGAGAAATTGCGCACAAGAAACCTGGCATCGGCTTGGTGAGTACTATTGTCTTCATCCTCGGGAATATATCTGACTCAAGGCTCAATAGGCATTTGCGTCCTTTGTACGATCTGCCTGAAGCTGTTTATCAACTTCCTGGCAGACGAGGGCCCACCAACAACTAGCAATCAGCTCGTTACCACTCTATGGACCCATTCATGTTTGGCGTTGTGTGGCAAAGGCTTCGGATGACGAATGCTTTCAATGCAACGCTTGATGCTCTTGACACTTTTCCGGGCACGTCTATCCTTTACGCCGGGTGTCAGCAGGTGCAGTGTGCGCCTGCCTATCTTTCGATCGTCTTCATCGACCTTCTCTCCGCCCGATCTCACATGCACGAACAACTCGCTTTGCACCCACCTCACCTCACTTTGTTTGCAGCCAACTGTAGCGTGAAATCGCGCAACGAGTTTTCTCACAAACTATGATTCAGCACCTCTGTGTGGGAGATGTGGAATTCATTGACCTGGGTAGAGAAATTGCGCACAAGAAACCTGGCATCGGCTTGGTGAGTACTCCTTATTGTCTTCATCCTAGAGAGCATATCTGGCTCAATGCTCAATAGGCATTGACGACATTTGATCCATCTGCCTGAAGCTGTTTATCGACTTTCTGGCAGACGAGGGCCCACCAACAACGAGCAACAAGCTCGTTACTATGTCGACCCATTAATGTTTGGCGTTGTGTGGCAAAGGCTCCGGATGAACGAATGGCTTCTCGTTTCCAATGCAGCATTTGATGATTTCGACACTTTCCCGGGCCCGTCTCTCCTTTACTTAGGGTGTCAGCGGGTGCATTGTGCACGTTGTCTGCCAACCCTTCGATCGTCTTCATCGACCTTCCCACATAGACCTCAGGAAGATCGGTAGCGATGAAAAGATCTCGAGGTTCGAGTGTCTTGATAATACCCGAAGCAACCAACCCAGAATCGGATCCCAGTTCGATCATCGTTACAGGGTGAATCCTTGCTGCGTCCCAAACAAAAGGGGGTTCAATTTTTCGGTCTGAGGGTGTAGAAACATACGCGGACAACGTGTATGCCGCTTCCCTGCTAGCGAAGATATCAAAGATGAGATCCAAAGTGCTTTTTTCGAAGATTTGATCTACCATACTCTTCTAGCGATCCCGTAAAGACGAATTGCATCCTCTTGAGCTTCTATCCCAAAGACACGCTCGCTATCTGTGCTTTGTCGAGCAATATCGTTCAGGTTGGAGGGGCGGATGTCAAGATTGTCGGGAAAGTTGGGGTCTTGTGCAAGCATGGCAGACGAGGGGCACTAGGCGGAGTTGCTGCCAAACAGTGACCATCGAAATCAAAATCCCCTGCTCCAACGATGGTCGTCAGCCGGCCCTCTTAACCCTCCATTCCACCCCTGGTTCGCCCATCGATGCCCATTCAGGCAAAGGCCGTCCAGCGTTTTACGCCACTTGGAGCAGCTTTGGCTGGTCCTCTCGGAGCACTGCATGAGTTCTATCTATCTTCTGTCGCCCCAGCTGACCCAGGAGCAGAGTTGTTTCTCCCCTAGATGTGTACGTCTCGCATTTAAATGCTGTAATGTGAAGGTTTTGACCATGTGAAGTGCCAAAACCAGAATACCAGCTTTTCCTGCCGACGCGATAGGCAAGGGGAAGAACAACCTATCGATGTTGTCCGTAATACTACGGGTAATGGGGCTCTATCGAGGTCTTGGCTCGACAATGCTCAACACATATTCAATGCGTATGTCGTTCTTGATTTATTGGATTCTACGATATCAACTCCGACCTCAGAATATGCTTATTTCTTTCATTATCCCTTCGTCAGGACTTTTTACATCAAACGTCTGACCTCAAAGCTAGCTCCAGGGTTCAAGTTCGATCTATGTGTTTCGTTAACGCGCTTTGAGAACGGCACTCCGGTAGTTTACTTTTAATGCTGCTACATATGTCTCACGTTTCAGTTGCAGTTTTTTTTTGGTTGGTTGGTTCATATTCTAGAGCGTAATTGCCATCTATTCGTTGAGATGAAATTCTCAACTCCTCTCATACAAATTTCGGAGGTAAGACCCCCTGTATTGTTCAGGTGCGTAACCCTTTTTTTTTTTTTTTTTCGCTCTTCATCGTTTCAGTCTCGTATCATCTCCACTGTGCTTTTACTTGCTGCCTGCCACACCCCCGTATCGCCATCAGACTTTGTATTAGATACTCCAGGAATTACATGATTTGGTTTGCCCGTATTCATATGAAGTGATCAGGATGTAGGTATTAGTATGGCCTCGTATGGTGTCAGGATCCAAGAAACTGGTACCACGCAAGGAGGCCTATCACCAGCGATGTAAGCCGAGCTTCCAACCTTGGCCATGGAAGGGGGGCTAACCTTTCATGGCCTATTGGGGCCTCTTATGGCCACAAATGGTCATACGTGGAACCTGAACTTTTGCCTGTGACAGGCAAACTCGAGGGATTGATATCAGTGCATTGACACCCGCCAGGCGCACTTGTATCCCCCCCCATGCATTCCTTCCGGCTACCGCTATCCTCTCCATCAACTTCAATGAAGCTCACCGTTGTGCCATATGCCAGATATCATCCGGGAAATAATCCCAGAGTTAGCACGCACTGGTCAGCTTTATACTCTCCCACTTCGACGACGCATTTCACTCACACGTCGTTCAGTTTCTGAATTCTTCATCACCTAATTCTTACTGTAGTCTGTCACTGAGCAGCTCCGGCATCAAACCGCCCGCAATGTTGTCTCAAAATTTCTTAATAACACACGTGTGGAACAGGTGCCAGTGGACTTCATTGAAAATGCAGCTCTTCAACGAATTGCAGCCCACACAAACTACGCTCCTGCTCAAGCCCTCCAAGGCTCCTTAACGTCCGAAAGCGTCAATAGTTTCAAATCTTCCACCTGAAATTCCAAGCAAACTCGAAGATCTGGACTTCATGTGAATTGTCAGGCAATGGCTTCGATGCCTTTATATCCAATCCTTTCCGTCGCTTCGGTCTTCTTCAGGTGGTTGTCGCAGTGGACAAACTCCACTCTATGACAGGGCAACATTTCATAACTTGACGAGGCTGGTCGGGGAGCACCTTGTTCCAGCCGGCCGACTCTGCAAATGGACCTCGCAGTGCTTCAGTCGTCACTAGCACTATCGGCTTCCTTTCCAAATTCCGTTGTGTCTGCCATGCGTACGTTTTGTCACTTTTGTGTGATTCATGCATCAGTCCCACCGTCTTGTATCTCACCGGGCGAGATCTTGAGTCATCAGAACGAGTCGGCCTGAGTACTATAACTAATAATATTTACAGAGAGAGGAGTGTGTTACTGGGACGATCATCTGTCGTTCATAACAAGGACGCCACACCCATGTAACACAAATCAACCAAAAAAAGACCGCTGGATGTAAGGACGAGGAAGTTGTGGCCTGTCTACTGGCCCACGACTTGTGTTGGTCGTGTTCTTCAGATACATGGTTGCGAAAGCTTCTGCGGGCCATTCATCTACATAATTCCCTAATTCTGGGAAAACAGTTTTTGCCTGGTTCCAATCGCAGAGTGAGCGTTCAATATGGGCGGTGTCCACAGAAATCGTACCGCCTGTCGGAAGGCATGCTGTTTCTTGGGATCTTGGTCTCTGTATCGCATACTCATGTCAAGATGTAACGGGTAAAGATTCCTTAACTCCTTCTGAATAAACGCATGAGCCTCTCATTTAGCAGTTTCGAAAGAAGGGGTGAAAGTGACCTGCACTTCGCGATAGTGGACCGATGTCCAATTCAGAGCTTGCTTCAGAGAATATCCACCATTGTTTGGTTTCGAAAGTGGACCTGATGGACGTGGGATTAAAGGGCATACTGTTCGAAACAGCGACTGGGTCACTGATGATATCGCTTGGGCAGTACCATGACTGATTGTCGGCGGAGAAAGATTAGTCTGAGGTACCAATGAAGAGGTTTGTGACCGCGTGGCGTCGACGTCTGGGTATCGCGAAAGACCACAACTAAGCACACACAAATGCATAATTAGTGAACTTACCTGAGGCGTGTTCTGGATCTATAAAAACGATTGCGATAGGATGTGGGCCTTGTGACAGTGGAAAACGATCCTCGGGTGGAAAGTAGTGGCGGTTTACGGATTCTGGATAAAACAGTGGCATGCGACGTTAAAGGCCTTGAAAGGCGCGCGCGGGGGGGGGGTCGTCGACATACCTTTATAATGCTACGGTGCCACTCGTTTCGTGCTCATTGTCAGGCACATCACACATCGCACGTGATATCCTTGCCTCGAGCATGCTTCCCGATTTCGAAGGACTTGCGAAGGACGGGAATTCGAAAGAATGGAACGGTGTACAACTTACAAAGGAGATGATAACATTGGAGTATACAGCGTAACAAGACTAAAAGTATGTACTGTGAGTTGCGTAGAATCGAGTAAACACAACATGTTGCATCCAATCAATGACGATGAGGAGCAGTGCCAAAGCGATGAACATGGACAGAAAAGATTTGAATGTCAGAGGGAGCAAAGCGCGGGAGATTTTGAATGAATATTCGTCGCCATCAGCGCCGAGATACTTTTTTGCAACCCTGATGACAAGATTCTTAACACGATGGAATACAAATCGCAGCTGGACATACCAACGTGCCGCCCCTGCTGCCAACCGATAATGATCAGCAGTATAGATGCCCACATAGTCCTGTCGTTTTCCAACCTTCAGGACAACGATGTCCCCACGTCGCCGGAGGCCACATGAGTTGAACAAAGAAAGGTTTGGCGGAGCAGAGGGGAGAGATCGGTAAAAAACATGGTATTTTTGCGGAACGCCAGTTTTGTCCAATAGCGCAACAGAGGCAAGTTGTATGGGTCCGTTGTAAAAAGGATCAAGGACAGGGGCGACGACAGGGTAACTAATTCCAGCGTCCGAGAGTAGCGCAGGAATCGTGATGCGGTCGGGATGATTAGCGTGGAGAGGATAATACAGAGCTTGTACTGTGATGTTCTGTTGGTACACAAAGAAATTGGTTGAACAAAGGATCCGATGCGAAGAAAGTACCTGGTATGCAAGGTTCGCGGCCATGGTGTCTTTGGAGCGTTTCTCAAAGGCGAGAAGTTGTTCAAAACGGACGAGGGAAGGGTGATACAGAGCGGTGAAAGAGATTTGAACAGGAAGAGATATGGACAAAGGCCAGGCGTGCCAAAAGGGCCTTTATAACGGAGTGCAAGTTTCGCGGAGTGCGATTCACGGCGACCAGAAAGGAAATCGCCGGGAACATGACCGAAAGGGTGAAAGGTTGCCGCTGTGGGGATAACAAACCGATCATGATACCAAGGGCAGTGACTGTAACTCGTATATAAAGAGACGGAGCACTAGGCACAAAGAGACCAGTAGCCACATAATTTGGTTTGAAGACTTTGGGCGTGGATCCAAGCGCGGAAAGTAGCAGTAATTAACGGTAGACCAGCGAATACACGCCTAAAGTGGACAGGGAGTTGGGAAAATGAGGGTCCTACAGAGCGAGCGTCCTTTGGAAGCAGGCGTGGTATACTAGTGCAGTTCGGACCTGTTATCGTGGTCCGACCAACGGCCGCACAGGCCCGGCTTAAGGCTATGGGGAGCGAAACAGTGGAGCAATTGCAAAACATGCATGGTCGAGTTCACGCACAGGCCAGAATAAGGTCTTCGTGAACGGGCTCTTCAAAGCAATGTTCAACGCATCAGCTTGAATGTAGTCGCCTTGGAATGGTTGAATGAGATTGCCCTGGTCCGAATGGAGTGTTCGCTGCAATGAACCAGTTGAATTATCAAAGCGATGACGAGGTTAACCGGAGTACCCTAGAAACAGCGGATTTGAAAGACCATTTTTACAGGGAACGGAAGTATACATGCTTTGACACTCGGAGCAGTGTAAGAATCCCAGTGCGCTTGACCACGCTGGCGTTTGGTGAGGATCGGGGTTTAGATTTTGAACCGCGTGTTTTCCGAGCGTCGTAATCGAAGAAGGAACGCGATAGAACTACATTTATTCACAAATTGGCACAAAAGATGATGTTGAACTACGGGATTCAATATTTGCTGCCGTTGGATATCTAGATTTGAACGTAAGTCTTGAAAATGGGGGGAAAAAGCGAATAATTCCGACCTCCCCACTCCCCAAGAGGTGACAAAGGTGCCTAAAAAAGACCTTACGTGTGTTGGGGCCGAACGTGGCGCTCTGGTCTGCATATACGTGCATGTAGAAGGTTGAGCGCTTCAGTCCGAAGGCATAGCCCCATAGGGACCAATGATCGCCCTCTGACCGACCGTATGCCCTAGGTCTGCGGTCAGAGTTGTGGGGGCCGTCGCTTGAAGGAACGTTAGTGCGAAAAGAAGAAACGTAGAAATACACGTACTGCAGTAGAATACACCAATCGCGAACCCCGAACATTTTGTCCAACTGTTCCTTCTCGGACTTCATCGTCTCACGGATGAGTTTTAGAGCGGCGGTTCGACGATTTGTTGGAAAGTGGCGACGGCAGTAAATTCGGAAACGCATTGGGGTCGGGGATGATGATGTGAAGGTATCGACGATGGTTACAGGGAAGAGACGACTTTGGGGGCGGATTGATCTGTGGCTGCGTCGTGAGACCGATGGTGGAAGGCTATTTTATCAACTAGTGTGACACCGCCGATGTGGGTCCTCGAGCCACAGTTGCACTTTCTATCGATTCGAATGCAACATCACCCATCAGCAAAACCTGGGTGAGCTAGGCAGCACGTGGCAGGGCTGTGTAGTGCCATAGCACCATAGAAAGGGGTATCACCTTTACAGTCACCTGCGCGTTCTATGCAGCTCTACATAGAAACGCACAGCCACTACACAGCACTCCATAGAATCTCAGAGCAGATCTGCAGCCATTCATAGAAACACATAGCCACTTCATAGTGCTCCCTAGAATTACGGAGCAGATCTGCAGCCCTCAGTAGCAAACCCTGGGGTCTGCAGATTCCTAGAGGGGGGGCATACATTCTGCTCATTTTAATACCATATTGCATGATTTTTACACAGAACTTGTGTTACGAAAAAATAAGTTTATTGTCTGCACTACTACATTATACAAGATATCCTAATATTCTACATAGTAATGACTGCAGTATATCAAATTTATGGAATCAGAGTATCAAGTATTAAAGATACTAAGAGGATGCCATTCGCCAACAAGGAAGGGAGGACAGTTGTTCATCGAGGGACGGAGCCGTTCTTCAAAGGAGGGAGGACTCAAAGGAAGGAGGACGCCATTCGTCGACAAGGGAGGGAGGACGCCGTTCTTCAAGGGAGGGAGCCGTTCATCAATGAGGTAGGGAGGACACCGTTCGTCGACAACAGAGGGAAGATGCGTTTGTCGACAAGCGAGGGATGACGCCGTTCTTCAAGGCAGGGGGAACACCATTTATCAACGAGAGAGGGAGGACGCCGTTCGTCAACGAGGGAGGGAGGACACCATTCGTCGAGGGAGAAACGCCGTCCGTCAAGAAGGGAGGGAGGATGCCGTTCGTCGACGAGTGAGGGAGCAGTTCGTCAAGGGAGGACACTGTTCATCGGGGGAGCCGTTTGTCGAGGGAGGGGGGCCGTTTGTCAAGAGGGAGCCTTTCGTCAAGGGAGGGAGCCGTTTGCCGAGAGAGGGAGCCATTCGTTGAGGGAGGAGTCATTTGTCGACGAGGGAGCCGTTCGTCGATGAGGGAGGGATCTTTTCTTTAAGGGAGGAAGCCATTCTTCACGGGAGCGAGCTGTTCTTCAAGGGAGGCAGGGAGCCATTCTTCAAGGGGGGGAGGCAGCCGTTCTTCAAGAGAGGGAGGATGCCGTTCTTCAAGGGAGGGAGGACGCCGTTCATGGACGAGGGAGGACACCGTTCGTCGAGGGACGCGGTTCATCAACGAGGGAGGGAGGATGCTGTAACTCGACGAGGGAGGACACCATTTGTCGAGGACAAGTTGAACATTGTGGTGGGAAGGAAGAAGAATGAATTTCCGTGTTGGGAAATTCAAAGTTCAACATAATCACATGATGTCGGAGTTTCAACGGACTTGAACGAATTGTCTCGCGACTTGAAGTTGTTTGTCGCCTGTCACTGTCTTTCACAGAAAGCATGGCATTCGAGGTGGGCA